CAGTACAGTCTGAAAAAGCAATATACATACATCAAAAGATCATATGAGGCAGGCTAGAAAATTACCATATTAATTAGATCACAGCAAAATGATAGTCACCGTCTGATAATCGATATCGCTTGAAATCAGCCACTGAATTTGCCGACCGGAAAGTGAATACGGTTCGAGACTGGGAAGACTTAACAAGAAAGATAGATAGATAGAAACTACTTTAGAATTAAGACTCTCAATATTTATCTAGGCTATAAAGAAAAGCACGTCGCTGTTCCTACTTTTGTTAGTTGGCACAATATGTCATTCCGTACAGTCTTCGACGAATAAGTTGTACTGCCAAATTTTAAAACTAAATTAATAATTAATTATGGACGTGTCAAATTTAAGGAGTAAACATTGATCAAAGAGGGAGAAATAATTTAAAAAATCTAGTTATGTATCTGTGTAGTGTTAAAATATGCAAAATCATCTTAACATTTAATTAAAGATACCATATATTTTTTACATTTAATTATTATTATGGAGGGACCAGTTCCTTAAGACAAAACATTAAAAAATTATAACTTATTTATTATTATGTTGAGTTTATTCTTATTTATAATTGGTGCAAGTTGAAACCAATTTTTTTTTATTATTACGTGGAGGTTATTTCAATATAGAGTAGCCCTTTAAAGATATATTTGAGTAGTTTCAATTATGTAACAAACAATAAATAGCAATATATAAGCATGGTTAGGCGTTAAGACCAAATGTCAAGGTTTTAATAGATGACAAGATCAAGTTTCGCATCTGAGTGAAGTCTAGACAACAACTCGGTGTATTTGATAAGATTGGAATTTAGAATTTTCATCATTTGGAATATATGCCTTTTAATTAAACCCATATTTGATTTAGATAAAAATAAGATTTTTAATAATTTTTGATAAAAGTAAGGAAATATTTGATTGAAAATTGTGAATCTCATAAAATATATGATTAAAATTAGCCGTCGACTGTAACATAAATTTCATTTTACTTTTTAAACTAAACCAAATAGGAACTAAGTTTGATTTATGGGGTAAACCACACCTTTAAAATAACCATGTCAATGTAACTAAAAATGCTACGTTGTTAGTTGGTCCATCAAAATATGGTTGTAGGGATCCATTTTTTTAACTTTCCATAATAAATAAATTTCTTTTTTTTAATATCAATTAACAATTATTTATTTCGAAAGTTACATATTTATAATATGCAAGAATAGTTACATATAAGTAGATCTTTTAAGTTTATGCAAACAAGCACATGAAGGTTGTTTTCTTATCAATAAGCACTATTGACTTTAACTAAACGTCCAAACACACCCCAAGTCATGTCACACTTAGCCCCTGGCCCCCTGTTTGGTTTGGATAAATATTATGTTTTTAATAAATTTTGATAAAAAAAATGATTGAAAAGCTGATAAAAATTGTGGATCCCATAATATGTGTTGTTCAAAATGAGTTTGAGAAAAAATAAACTTTAAAAAATGAGGGTCAAATAGAAAGTTAGAAATTTTAATTTTTCTGTGTTAACATGACAAACCCTTTCATAAGTACAAGTTATGCACGGTAGTTGAATAGCCCATCATAACTCCCAAGTTGATGGGTCATACATCTTTAATATGCTACAAACATGGAAAAGCATTAGCATCCATTGTCTTATTTAACTATGTTAGTTTTTTTATACCTAATAAATTTAAGCAATGATTTAAATCAGGTATCGAATAATTAATCGACACCTTAGAGCTTGGTTCGACTCAGAAACAACCAATGCACCTTGAGAATGGCCCAAGTTTTATGTAGTGTTTGATTTTGGTTAGTTTGGCGTGTTGGTTAGTTTAGGCTTTGATTTATTGGTAGCCCATTTGTCTTGATTTTGTGTTGGCCCATTTGTGAGTCATGGCCCAATATTGGAGGCCCAATGCTATGTAATTGCCTTTTCTTTACGACGTGTCTAGTGCGTGTGGGTGCAATGGAGGGAGGAGTGAATGGGACAACCGAATTTTAGGGTGAGTTTTGAGAAATTCAACCATTGCTGCTTCATCATTTCCTCTATATTGTAGTCACCACCACCTTTAGCATCATTTGTGGGTTAGTAAAAGGCTACCGAAGTGGGTGAGAGATGCAACCAAAGAGTGCAAGTTGTGGTTGAGTAAGCCTTGAGTTGGTGTTCGTTTGATAGTTTTTTTAACTCAGATTCAAGATTCCTTGAAGCATCTGCACAAGGTCATGCACAAAGACGCTGAAGGCACAGGCAGCGCCTTAAGGGTTTTTCGGTGACGGTTCTAAAAGACAGAATGTTGCTGGTGGCATGGTGGACCCTGCGGTGGTGTTCGTTTTCTATTTTGAGCGATACGGTAAAATTTGGACGATTTTACCCTTGAACATTTAGTTGTCGGGTGTTGTTTTGTGTTTATCGCAGTTGCTGGAGGCTTTATGGTAAATAGTAGTAGCCCTAAAGCGGTGAATCCGCTCGGTATCGTGCTTTTTTCCTTTTATTATTGCATTTAAGATTATTGTGTAAGATGGTCATTTACCTTTCGCATTAGAAATCATCGTATTGGGTGGCATTAGGTTTGGGGATACCGTATAAGGTAAAAATTGCCTCATTGCATGTAGCTAGACCTACGAATTATTCACTTTGAATTTTTTGTGAATTTGTTGTCAATTTATTTCTTCACTACTAGAATTGCACATGACCTTAGAAAAAATTATTTAAATATTCTATGTGAATTATGTCTTTACTTTGCTTGTATTCATTGTTGGTTGCATTTTGTATTTTGTGCATTTTTTAATAAAATTACAACACATTTTGAGTTGGATTTTTCTAATGAAGAAAAAGTGATCTTTCAATTTGGCAAAACGAAAAGTTTCTATAAAACTTTTGATGGCAAATGTAGGTTTAAGACAAGTATGAAAAGTAAGAGATGTTTTAACTACAGTAGTTTGGACATGTTGAAAGAGACTATACTGGAAAGGATAATAGGAGGAAAGAAGAGGTGAGATGTGAAGCGAATGTAGCTATTAGGTGACCATAGTGAGGTTTATTGAGAGTAAACCTGGTTATTACATGTGCATCTTTGTGTAATCATTTTTGCATGTATAATCGCTTAATTTTGTTGCAATCTTATATGTTACACTTTAAATATGTTTGATATGTGTAATTGCATGAATTGAAAGTGGTCTTATTACTTTTTATAATGTATTTGAATGTATAGTAGGTTGAGATCTATGGCATACTCATTTTGCTCTGTGAGTGGTGTGAGAAAGTGTGGTAGTGAGAAGAAAGAAGGGCAGTCGTTTTCTCCTTTATCTTTGTGAGACTGTGTTGTTTGTGAGA